GACATGATATTAGCTTTACCACAGCTACTTATACCATGATATTAGCTTTCCACAGCTACTTACTACATGATATTAGCTTTCCACAGCTACCTACGACATAATACTAGCTTCACACCGGCTATTTACGACATGATATAAGCTTCACACCAGCTACTTTCAACATTATATTAGCTTCACACCAGCCACTTACGACATGATATTAGCTTAACCACAGCTACTTACGACATGATATGATCTTCACACCAGCTACTTACGACATGATATTAGCTTTACCACAGCTACTTATACCATGATATTAGCTTTCCACAGCTACTTACGACATGATATTAGCTTTCCACAGCTACCTACGACATAATACTTGCTTCACACCGGCTAATTACGACATGATATTAGCTTCACACCAGCTACTTTCAACATTATATTAGCTTCACACCAGCTACTTACGACATGATATTAGCTTTACCACAGCTACTTATACCATGTTATTAGCTTTCCACAGCTACTTACGACATGATATTAGCTTTACCACAGCTACTTATACCATGATATTAGCTTTCCACAGCTACTTACGACATGATATTAGCTTTACCACAGCTACTTATACCATGATATTAGCTTTCCACAGCTACTTACAACATGATATTAGCTTTCCACAGCTACCTACGACATAATACTAGCTTCACACCGGCTATTTACGACATGATATAAGCTTCACACCAGCTACTTTCAACATTATATTAACTTCACACCAACTACTTACGACATGATATTAGCTTTTCCACAGTTACTTACGACATGATATTAGCTTTTCCACAGCTACTTACGAAATGATATTAGCTTCACACCAGCTACTTACGACATGATATTAGCTTCACCCCAGCTACTTACGACATGATATTAGCCTTTCATCAGCTACTTACAACATAATATTAGGCTTTCCACAGCTACTTACGACATGATATTAGCTTTCCAAAGCTACTTACGACATGATATAAGCCTTACATCAGTTACTTACGACATAATATTAGCTTTCCACAGCTACTTACGACATAATATTAGCTTTCCACAGCTACTTACGACATGATATTAGCTTTCCAAAGCTACTTACGACATGATATTAGCCTGAAATCAGCTACTTACGACATAATATTAGCTTTCCACAGCAACTCACGACTAAATTTGAGTTTTACGGCAGCTACTCACGCCTAACTTTGAGTTTTACGGCAGCTACTCACGCCTAAATGTGAGCTTCATGTCGGTATATAACGACTTATATTAACTTTACGACAATTAATAACTAATATATTTTAGCTTTACAACATTTGATACTACTTAATCTTAGCTTTTTGATAGCTTCTTATCACAGACCCATGTCCAAATGTCCAAAACTTTTTCTTTATTTGTATTCTGACACTTTTGTTTTGGGCTTTCTTTCGTTGGTGGTATAATGGAAAATTTCAGAACATCTTTGTTTTTTGGAAAATACCCATTAAGTTTTTCGTCTTTGAAATAGTGAAAACACAGCAGTAATCAGTCTTTATTTTTGTCACAGATATTTTATTTAATTCAAAATATTTTTGTCACATCAGGGTGCTCAAACGCGTTCAAATAACTACTAAGTTCATATTATAATTGTACATGTATATTCATATTTAATATTCACATTTTTTAGTAAATCATGTGTATTGAATTTTATCGAATTCGGGAGTTAAGCAGGACCTAACTCGAGGCTACCCTGTGTCCCTTCATATTGTTTATACATATTTGGTCCTTTTTTTATTTATTTTTTCTGCTCACATTTCAGTAAACTATTGGAAATTATGTGTGAAATGTATTCGATACAGTGTGTATACACTCTTTATGGATGGGCGAAACGTCGTCCCATGTGGAGTGATATATGAAATTTGCAATTTAATCACATCGTTGTACAGGTAAACAATACAAACCGCTCACTCATGTCATAGCTTGACAAAGGGATTCGTCGGTCTTGAAGCGTTGCGACACGAACATTTTTTGTGTATAAAGTAAAACTTTGATATAATGTGTGAACTATATTTAAATAAATCACAAGCTCGACATTCATCTGCTGAACATTTTCTGGTAAATTTTATGTTTTTGTTTATCGGAAAACACACCATTTGAAGTACACATATTGAAATTACAACAGTATTTCCAAATAAGCATCAAATGAAAATTGTATTACAAAAATCAGATTCACACAAATATTACGTCAAAACTGTAAGGAATAGGATTTTGGACTTTTCCCTTTTAAAATGTTTCTTTTATATGCCAGGTTTTTTTTTCAATGTAATGCAATTATGTTTTATTTTAAAAGTGATTTAAACTGATTTTCGCTAAAATTGTATGTCATTTAATTTTGCTAGGGTGCAGAGCAACCAGGACTGCTATTTGAAACTTCCGTTATAACTGCATCTTAAATGTTTATTTCTTGTAACAGGGATATGATAAAGGATAATAGATGATTCTGTCACAAAGCAAAGTCAACCATCTATTTGAGAATATATACATTGTAGTACATGAAAACGCAATTCATTTCTTAATACCACCCTTTATTTGTTCATTTATGTGCACATTGCGATGATTATCTGCTTGCTTAAATGTATAAAAGTGATTGTAAGCCTGTGTTTTTGTTTCACAATTATAACTAATACTATTATCCATATGTTGTAAAGCGCTTTAGAGTAATTTTACAAATTATATAGGGCGCTATATAAATGTTGTATATTATTATTATTATTATTAATAGAAAAATTCCCATAAACAATTGTCGTGTACCAAATTAAGTACACAACATGCACTGTTAAACCATTAACATAGCTTCGGTGAAGCCGAAGCGTACTCAATGTGTTAAATATACGGGTGTCCGGGTTGTGCAGTGGATAGCGCACTTGCCTTTCACCAAGGCGGCCGGGGTTCAATTCCCCGATCGGACGTGAAAAGGTTGGGGTCACCTGCCCTCCCACGTGGGTTTTCTCCGGGTACTCCGATTTCCTCCCACACTAACTTAGTAAAAAAAAAAAACACACACACGCTACCATCCGGGCCAACAAGAGTGATTAATATAAGTTGGAAAAAAACTTGTTTCATAATTGTTGTAAAATAAATAAAGTTTTATATTTTAAATATGCAATAGGGGGGTCCATTGTGTGTCTGTGTGCTCAGTATTGCAGCCTAGAATGTTAGAATATATTGCGATCGTTTCATGATAGAAGGGAGGTAACTCCCAATGTCTAGCCAACGTCCGTAACAACGTTAACCTATCCCTAGTCAACGTAGTTCACGAAGCTCGATCAAGTTTGTTTATATAGCTCATCCAAATAAGTTCATACAGCTGCCTCAAACTAGTTGACATCGATCCTTCAAGACAGTCCATACTGCTTCTTCAAGTTGGTTTCAGACCCCCAAATCTAGTTCAACCCAGAAGAGTTGTTGTTTTAAAGAATTTCAAAAATCCATCCCGAAAGAACTTTTTTAGCAATTTACTTTTGATCAACAAGTTTGTGAGCCACATACAATATTATTAGTATTAGTACAATAAGATTCGAGTAAAATTTATTTTGTAAGGAAATTCAGTCAAATAAAAAACAACTAATTTATACGTTAAACTGATAATCAAAGTTTGAATTATAAACAGCAAACTGAGTTTATATATAAAGAAATGTTACAGACAACAATATAAAATAGGATTTCAATTAGTTTTATTCTTTACAAACGAGCAGAAATTCTGTTTTGTTTGATTTGAATATAAAATATATAACAAGTCATTTACCTGAACAAACTTTGATGTTTGCTAGATCGTACAAGCATAAGAAGAGAGGAGAAAATACACGTGACGGTACCTGGACAAATGATGACAAAGGAATCAGCATCGTCGTCGTCGTCACAATCCGCTATCAGCCACCTAATTTGTCACAAATAGTTTCAACTGTATGACGCGAAACGGAAACAGAATTCTTGTCGTGCATTGCAAACGGTCGTACTGTGACCTTTTTTGGAACGTTAACAGAAACTTTGTTGAAAGGTTTACCATGTACTATGGGTCATATTCAGATTGTCTCCAAATGTACACGCAAAGAACAGCGATGCGAATTCTATAGAGTAGCTCTATAATTATATGCATTATAAATGAAGTGTTTGTGATACTCTTAAGAATTAATGATGTACAAAATATATTGTCAAGCCTTTGTGTTTAACGGTAAATTATTGAATACGCTAATTATTTTACTATAATTTGGGCCCGATTTGTGTAACGCTTGCCTCTGGAACAGCGATACGACAACGCAATACTTCATTCACATGAGGCTACAGGTTTAAACTCCTAAGAAATCTGATGTCGCCAGTGAAAGTATCAAGTCTCTTGATTATTGTTACTTAGTCTCGATTCGACAGTGTTGAGGATTGGTTCGCAACAATATTCTGACATCTTACTCTTAACTAAATGACAATAGAATTGGTTGCTTCAACAATATCGCTTTTACTCTAGAATGGAGGTTTTCAAAAAAAATCCAATGATGGTTCTTAACGTGCAATGTTAGCATAACGTTGCTCCAAAGTTGGGAGAAGAGAGACAACTCTCATTAGATTAGCTGTAAAATGAAAATTTATTGATATCAGCAGAGACGTGATATATAAACGTCTCTGATATCAGTGATATTTGATTTTTTGCTAAACCCGTAATATTCTATGCTGTTTCTCCTTCAGAGCGGGACACGCAACGTGATCAAAAGTACTCGTTTGTCCGTTACCTAACGGAAGATGTGACAGGTGCTCGTGTGTCCACGTGGACCTGTTTACATTTTCTACTTCCGGTAGGAATAAAACGTAATCATTTTAGATAAATTAAAAAAGCCCTGATTTTTTCATTTTTTATTAAATATTTTAACGTGAATTGTAAATAAAACATGTTCTGATCGTGTTTTGTGTTGCTGTAATTGTAAAATCTCAGATCTCGTACACTAGCGAGGCTGTGACGCGCTATACAGGAAATTGACAACATGGCAGACAACATGAGTGAGGTGCCGGTGGTAAACGCAACAGTTAATGAAACAGCAGGAAATGCAACCGCTAAGATTCCAGCTTCACCCGAAGGAATGGCCGTGGCTTACGGAAGCCTGGTTATTATGGCGATTTTGCCAATTATCATCGGCTCTTTCCGTTCCGTGAGGTACCATAAGGCACAGAAGGTATTCTCCAGTTTCAGGTTGATTTCGGCATCGATACGTATTTGTCCATATGGGGACGTTTTAGACAACGTCCTTGTGTATAATTATGTTGAAAGTAGTAAACATTTAACTCTGAACATTATTTCATTCATATGCAATATTTGTTTGTACGAAAATAGTTTGATTTGATCAGTTGAAAAGTTCAAAATATGAAAAATATTTTTTACTACCTGTTTGGTAGTGGTAGATCTATCATGGATCGTAGTTGTTTTTTAACACCCAGTTGAGAAACCTGTTACTGATCATGGACAAACTGTTTGACTTGCCTAAAACACAATCGCATATAAACCATCAGGGTATCATATATGCATGATCACATAAAATGCAAAAGTTGTGTGTTGTATCTGTTTATTGTAGACAGCATTATAAAAACAACAAACACAACTGCGATTCAGTTGTTTATGAAAAAAAAACGTCTTTTTTAAGGCATAATCTGGCCGCGACAATAATTGATTTCAATACTTGCCAAATTGGCACACAAGTCACTGCAGGACAATCCCATTACAGATCACAATTGGTCGCCGCCCAATGACTGTATGGCTGGCCACACAATTACTTCACAGGTATCAATTCAACAATCCCTGACCACAGTGAACGGGTGCACACGTACCCGTGGAGTATCCCACACTTGATGGTTCTTGTGTCGACCTCGGTTTGCCTCGCCAAACCCTGACCACAGTGGAAAGGCAAAGCAAATTACGTAAAACACTGTGGTCAGCCAAAGTGTGTCCATAGTTCATTAATTGTCCAATCCAAAGCTCTGAAATCCCTTATTGTCGCGACAACAGCTTCCAACAGTCCAATCCTCCAAGCTCCTGCAATAACAATTACACAAACAGCAGCAAAAATTCTACTAACAATGGGATGGGTAACATAAATTGCTTGTTAAACATCCTATAAAGTAAACATCCATGCACTAAAGTTCTTAAATTTTAGTTTTAAAAGTAGTAATTTCACAGAATCAAATACCCAGATTTTTGGCGAAACCGTTTATCTTTGTTTTCTGCGCTAAAAGATCGAATTTGTTATCCCTCAGATGCTTGTACTATACTGTATGCTATGCAAGCATCTGGAGTACCCAGATCTACTAAAGCTATTGATGCTTGACCTATTATTTGTAATAAGTCATCATTTCCCAACATAAACAATACTAAGGATGCGCTGCAATAAAATGGATTTATTCTTTAATTAATAAATCTCAATATGTATCTTACATATACTGACGTTTCAGCTTTGTCCTATGTTTGTTGGGCTTTTTTTGTGTCCTTTGTGTTACTGATTTTCTTTTTCAAGATCCTTTATCATGCTCTGTCTGTACAAAATAATAATAAAACTACCATGTACAGAAAAGTTAGGATTCACAACTGTCCGGTGTATTGTTGACTATATCTATTGAGTTTCTTCAGCATTTTTACGGGGGTGGGGGGGGAAGTATCAAAACATCCTATAAAAGTATTCCACCAAGGGTCACTGGCTATTGATCATGAAGGCACCTACATGTTTGATCCTGGTTTGGGCCAGCAACATTTAATTGACTTTCCTTGCTGCTGCTGTATCGCAACTTATATTAATTGCCTTTGTACATGTAACTGCTTTTGAATACCCATTATATGCCTTTCAAATTTACCAATACCTATATATATATATATATAATGCAAACAAATAATAGGTGGATGGTATGTATTACAGGAAGCCGGTGAAAAGCCAGAGACGATGACCAGTAAAGATGCTGCAATGTTCCCCATCATAGCCAGCTGTACTCTTTTTGGCATCTACCTCATATTTCAGGTAAGTTTAATTAACATGTGGCAGCAACAGATTTGTTATTATTTTGTTTGTACATTATATATCTTTTAAGTATGAAAGATGTTTCTTTCATTCAGGCCAGCAAAGGTTGACAATCATTGGGCAATATTGTTTATTTTCAGTCGCTTTAGGATGTTTAGAAAAAAAATCATTTCCTTTGTGTGTTTTTTCCCCACAAAAGTAGGACAATTTAAAAATAAAAAACACTGCATTTTGATCATTTCATATTTGCAGAACACTAAAAAGACCTAGTATTTTGTGATTACAACTTTGGTGTTGTGATATCTTGTAAATGCCATGCTTGTGAGTCACAATACAACACAGTGCCCTACACTACCGAGCTGGACTGTTGATCAACCACTAAACAGAAATGCACCTTTGCAGCAGAAAAAGAGCCCATCAGATAATCTAATGAAACAATATGTTCTGGGTTTATTTTTTTGATAGATATGCTTTTAAGTTTTGTGATACATAATGCTGTAGCAGTGTAGTCTAATTAAAATCATCTGTTACATTGCTCCGTTAACTTCGTACTACTACTGAACTAGTACGAAGTTAACGCAGCCTTGTAACAGATGATTTTAATCAGATTGCTTAGTAAAAAGGTAATGGAGTCTTGTAACGGATGATTTTAATTAGATTGCGTAGTACAAAGTTAACGGAGCCATGTAACAGATGATTTTAATCAGATTGCTTAGTAAAAAGTTAACGGAGCCATGTAACGGATGATTTTAATCAGATTGCGTAGTACAAAATTAACAGAGCCATGAAACAGATGATTTTTATCAGATTGCGTAGTACAAAGTTAACACAGCCTTGTAACAGATGATTTTAATCAGATTGCATAGTACAAAGTTAACGGAGCCATGTAACAGATGATTTTAACCAGATTGAGTAGTACAAAGTTAACGGAGCCATGTAACAGATGATTTTATTCAGATTGAGTAGCAGTGATACTGCAACTAGTACTAGAGTAGTGGTTTCAAGTATTGTGGCATGTATACTTTATAAAAAGATTTTTTGTGCATTGTCATGTACATGATTTACTTAATTATGTAAGAGTATTTATACACAATGGGTTTTCTTTTAAATTCGTTCGATAAACATGTGTTTTATAAAAAAAAATCAAAAAAATCTGTGATATGTCAATATATATTGTGGTACATAAGTATATGAAAACTGTATTTGTTACACTGTTTAAAACAACTGACAAGGATTATTCTGATTTATGTTTACACTTCAAGTTTTTATTTACATTGATCTTTTTCTCTTTTCATTCTCAGATCTTCTCCAAAGAACACATCAACTTGCTTTTGACTGTGTACTTTTTCTTCCTTGGAGTGTTCGCCTTGGCTCACATTATTGGGTAGGTTGACATGGTCGACTTAGTTCTTTGTTGTCTAATCATATATTCAGTCTAGTTCTAAAATTCCAGGTAAAATTCACAGTATTTTCTGATGATTTATCAAAAGTTGTGAGCACAGAATCATTATGATGAAGTCTACCAGTTTATTAACACAATTTTCTTTTTTTACAGTCCATTTGTATCAAAGATGCTACCTTCCTCATTCCCAAACAAGGACTACCATCTTATATTCACACAGGGGAAGGCGGAAAAGAAAGAAGGTACATATAGATCTTGGTAGAAAGTAATTAACAATGTCAAAAAAAAAAAAAAAAAAACTCATTTAACCCTTTAACCCCTATGTAACTTTAGTAGACTCTACCATGCATCGATATGGATGCGTTCATTATGGTCTACAGTGGTAAAAGGGTTAATTTTAATGGTACAGTAATGCCATATGTTCATGATAGGCATAGTAAACTAGCCAGTGAATAAATTGAACAATATCTTTCAAAAGGAAAACTTTTTAAACATTTATGTTTATGACTATAAAACAAAATAATGAGCTGAACATGGCTCTGTTGTATTGATTGAAAATATATTAAATGTAGACAGCAAAAACATATCACTGGTTCTTTATTAGACCGTATTGTAAAAACGTGTGTACTTGATACCCATATATTGTCCCTCTACAATAGCTGTTAGTATTTTTGTGTTATCAAACAATTTATTTGACAAATTGAAGTGATTGATGAATTTTTGTGCGGTAATATAAATGAACCTATTTAATGTGCCAGGTTAAGAATATTTATGAAATATGACCACTTGTATTAGACGTCTACAGTATCTCTGATCCATGTTTTGTATGACAGACATCAAAGCATGATCAATATAGTTACCAGCTGCTGTTGATAATAGTCTATAAATGGTGACTATAACTATATACAGGTTCAGGCTGTCTCCAATATCATCATTTCTTACTTAGTCACAGAGCTTTGAAGTTTTCAATAAACGCAGTAGTAGCTATAAGCGAGGTAATTCATTATATTAATATGCTTTTCTGTTGTGCAGATCTGATGAATTATGAGTTTGACAGAAAAGATCTTGTCTGTCTGGGAATATGTACAGTTATTGGAGTCTGGTACCTTGTCAAAAAAGTAAGTCGCCATCCGAAATGAATACAGTATCATTTATGTGTAAGTCACTGTTCTTTGTGAGGTTGCACATGAAATAGAACATGAAGATTACAAATTGTGAATTTCAAAAATTTGTTGTGATATACAAAAATGAATATTTCCATCAGACAATTGAATTTTTAACAAGGAGGTTGAGAATTCATCTGTTCAATTTTGTATCACATTACACTGCGATGTGTCAATTCTTACAAAGCATGGAATTTGTTACGTGCAAATAACCTCTTTAATATCAATATTTGTCAGTATCGTGAAATAGTAATTTCCACTGCAGTGAAGAAATTTAGAAGATAATTGTGTAACTTATGATATTATCTGTGTTTTGCAGCACTGGATAGCCAACAACCTGTTTGGGTTTGCATTTGCTATCAATGGTGTTGAACTACTGTCTCTGAACAGAGTCAGTACCGGTTGTATTCTTCTAGGAGGCCTCTTCATCTACGATATTTTCTGGGTAGGTACATATACGATGGTATGCCAAATTGTTAGACAAAACTCACATTCCTGTTCTGTGAATTTGACTTCCTCTTTTGTGCCTAACTAAGCCAAAATCATAAAACTCTATGTGGGCAATGAGTGCAGACATTTAAATCCAGCAACATTTCAATCTGAATATTCCGTCTTTGCATATTCCAGAATTATCTTCTCTTGTGAGCAGGTATTGATTGTTATGTCATTTGTTTGTGAGAGTAACGTCATCACATTTTGAGAAAACAACATATTTTTTTTACACAAACCAATGACGTAACAATTAATACCTGCTCACAAGAGAAGATAACTCTGCAATACGCAAAGACGGAATACCATGGCTAAATATCTAAACCTGTTTACTCTTAATACATCTTGTTTAACACTGCTTAGAAACATGGCATAGATTACTTTCCATTTTGTTTTTCTTGAACAAATATGATGTAAAGTAGTAATTAAAGGTGAATTTAACGTTTCTATTGTATTTTTTCTTTCTATTGAAGTTTTATGCCAGGTACAACCTTTGTTTTAAACCCTGAAATGTTATTGCGACTTATTGTACTGTATGCCAGGTGTGACATTTGTTTTAAACTATTATTTTGACTTATTGTATGTTTCTTTCTGTTTTGAAGGTATTTGGAACTAATGTCATGGTAACTGTTGCTAAGTCCTTTGAAGCACCAATCAAATGTAAGTATGAGGAATACACTCTTTAGTTCAATAAAAATTACTGAGTAGGACAGACTTTAAAGTTTCACCTAGGGTAAAATGTTAACTTGTGATTGAGTATCTGACATTGTTTGGGCTTGGTTCGAGTGTTGTATCCTGTGTTTGTATTTGGTTATGTTGAGGACCATGTTTCATTGTCAGTAAGCAGAATATTCTTTTCTATTTTTTTATTAGCAGAATAATAATTATATATAATGTTTCTATTGTTGACAAGAAAAAATCTGTATAAATTATTATATCTTAAAGCAATGATTTGTTTTGAATGTAAAATTCCTCGATATGGGGACTAAATTGATGACTATCTTCTTTCAGTGGTGTTTCCTCAGGACCTCCTGGAGCATGGTCTGGGTGCCAGTAACTTCGCCATGCTGGGACTTGGTGATATTGTTATACCAGGAATCTTCATAGCCCTTCTCCTTAGGTTCGATATGAGGTAAGAAAAAGCATTTTACTAAATGTAATTAATTTCCTTATATCATAGACATTTTCACCAGAATATAAAAGTAGTCTTACTTGTGTTTTCAAATATACTGAATATCAATGAGAATGGTGTTATTCCTGTTCATGAACAATAAAATACGTTTGTTTTGTTTTCAGTCTGAAGAAGAACTCCAAGACATATTTCTATGCTAGTTTTATTGCCTACTTACTGGGACTGATGTTAACAATTTTTGTAATGCATTTCTTCAAGCATGCTCAGGTAAGTACTCATCTTCATGTATCATATTCCATGTATGGTTTTCTATTCTGTGCATCATTTATGCTTCCTGTATTAGATCTATCAATTCCCTTCAAATAAATGATTTTTTTTCCACAATGACATTTCATATTGATCAACTAACTTGTCAAAACTGCAACATCAAAATATCAGTATTTCAATCTGGCAGTATATAAGCCCAGTCCTGTCTTTTCTATTTGTTTCTGTTCTCTTCAAATCACTGTATATGTCAAACGAAGAAATTTCTAGTGTGAACATTTTATTATTAATAATTAATATGTTAGTGTTTACCTTAATTTTTGTACACGACTGTCAGTGTTTGACTGTGTATGTTTCTATTTCAGCCTGCCCTGTTGTACCTAGTGCCTGCCTGTATAGGTCTACCCCTGGTTGTAGCTTTAGCTAAGGGAGAGGTCAGACAGTTGTTTAGGTAAGAGTTAAATCTCTGCTATTTGTAGCTTTAGTCTGATTTCTTGTGTTACCTTTTGTTCCAAATAGCACAATCCTGATAAGTTGATCCCTATGTATAATTGCAACACCTACATTTTATAGTTATCCCCCGCTCAGCAGGTTGGCAGGGGGTAAAGAAATGGTGTGCATCCGTCCGTCCATGCATCTGGTGAAGGAGAATTGCTCCCATCTAATTCTTGCCTACTACAAGTGCTATGTTGATTATACTTGCATCAATTGTGTATCTAGGGTGCTCCACTGAATGCGTATTGCAGATGATTATTTTAACCTATAAGAATTGCTATCATCTTCATGTAAGATTAAGGAAATCGCTCTCATCTTCATGTAAGATTAAGGAAATCGCTCTCATCTCCATGTAAGATGAAGAAGAATGTATTGAGTTGGTTGAAAAGTACTTGCTGTCATATATCATGTTTCTAATAAATTTAAAATTCTATTTGGTATTAGAAGAAACTGTTATTTGTTTTGTTACCTTTCAGCTATGAAGACGCCTCAGAGGAAAAGAAGCCAGATGACAAAGAAAAAGCAGCAACAAAAGATGAAAAGAAAGTCAAAAAAGAGAAATAAGCTTTTATTGACCCTGAGATAGGAATACTGAATCAAAGATCATGTTACCAACATAAATCTGGAACTTTTGGCTAGAGATAAGGTTTAGCATATTTAATTCACACAAATTGGAAATGAAAATCTGTATCAATTATATACAAAGCTAGTTGTACTATATATAAGATCCATGCCAAAATTTCCTTATTTACGTAGAGATTAAGATCTTGTTAATAATCTCATGGAACATGGGGTTTTATGTCATTTTGTTCAGTTTTGTAAGTATGCCAGTGTCTACAAGCTATTCATCCTCCTGGTGTTATAGAAGTCAAATGCTGTTAAAAAAAGTGTTAAAAAAGTGTTCATAATTTTATCTCTGTTAATGTACAATATGTAGAATGACCTGATTGGTTGGTGGGAAGATAAAGCTATGGACACTTACACTACGTCACTTATTTTGTAATTTGTGTTTTTTGGCTTTAATGTGAAGCAAATGAATAACTTCTTCCAGTTCTTTTACCACCAACCCAGAGGTATAGACAGGTCATTAGCACAGTGTGAATGGACTGCCATAAACATCATTCTGATTTAAGTGAAGGGGAGGAAATGGGGCCGGAATTGAATTACAATATGTGTTCTGTCATAGAGAAAGAAGTGTCGGAACTACAGAAGTCTGAACATAAACATTATTCTTAGAGTATTTATAACTGACCTGCTGAAAGTTACGGCAGGTATTATTTATATCATTGTCAATGACCTGACGAGTACCTGGTAAGACAGGTAATGCTGTAGTTTTTGTTGTATGGTGCTTATATCCTAACTAGGAAACATTGCCAGTATGGTCTGGTACCACGTTCACCCACAGCATTGTCACATGTACGATTCCAGTCTCATTTAACACCAAACGTAACAATGGAAAATGGTTTTGTTATGTTTGTGATATATATATCTGTGTACAGGTTGTAATTATGTAATAAAATGTCAGAGACTTGAGTTGTCTTTTTCTAGTCGATAAAGTAAGTACAAATGTATGTAACTATTTGTCACACAAATCATCCTCATGTGTGTTATTGTGTGTTATACACTGTTGATCAGGTGAAAAACTGAACTAAAAACACCAGATAGATACACACCCCAGGATAGATAAACTTAGTCCCTGGATATAATTCTGCAGCATTTGTTTTCATAAATTGGAGAAAATAATTTGTGGACTATACACAGGGAAACTAGGCTTAATCTCATGGCCAAGGATAACACTTGAACTTGCATCCTGGTTATTGTTATAAATTCTAATGAATCCGATGCCCACTTGATTGCGCAGTGCTGATTCCTTCCCCTTTAAATACCCATCTCACACAGCTGGTTAATTTTATTTGGGCTATTTATTTTTCAGTTGACATTGTAGATGTATTTTAAATCACAATATAGATGTTTTGTGTGCAAGTGAAATGTCAAATTTAATTTGGTAAAGGGAAATTTTGTAATATAGTACTGTGGATGTAAAAAGGAGGTTGGATAGTGAGAGATTCAATAAGGACTGGCCGGGTAAACAAGGTATTTTTCTTTTATGAACTTAAATAAATATCTAATACCAAAATGCGTTGAGACAGTGCATTTTGTTTTTAAACACTGAAAGCTTGCAAGTTTTATAAAATAATCAGTCGGTTAGGTATTTAACGTGAGGCCGTGGAATTGTTTGTTGCCACTGGAAGAGGTTTACTAGTGAAGTATGACAAATTTTAGCATCCTCAATAAAAGCATTTTGAGCATAAATCATTGCTCATTTTAACAAGTTCTTGCTACTCGGTTTGAGGTATTTAATATTTCATTACAAAATGATATTTTAATTTGTCATCATTCAATTCAAACATATTTTAGTGAACTAAATATATAGGACTAACTAGTGAAGTTAGTTTTTTTTTAATCAAAACAGACCAAGGTTGATGTTGAGATGGAAACTTATCACAAATCTTCAACCATATGTGTGTGATGTAGGCTATCAACAGAGTTCAGATATGTGTGTGTTTTGTATCTATTGAATATACTGTTGGTTATTGTTCATTTATATATTATAAATTCAGATTTTTTATCGCTAGGAATATGATTTTTCTGTTGCCAAACAGTAAATTTGAAATTTCAAATATTTTACTTGAAATTTAACTCTTTAAAAAGATTACTTATCGACATAGAGTGATCATTAGTATTATCATAGATAACAATGTTTTTCTATTTAGTAAGTTTTGACACATCTGGCAACCAATGAAATGGCCATTTTTGTGCAAGATCTGTACGAGAAGAAAAGCATTGTCATTGAAATTAATTTGAGTAATAGTCATTTGTTTTAATTCTCCTTTAAAAGTAATACCTCGTTCGTTATTCATATCCATTCATAACTCAAATGAAATGTTACAATTCATTTAATTTTCATTTACATTAAATATCGTGAAAGAAAAAAGTGCAGTATGTAGCGTGTAACTTTAATAAGAGTTACCTCCCTTCAATTACAGATTCACTGAACCACTAATCATTTTAATATTTTTCTTCCAAATATATGGCCTGAGTTCTGTTCCAGGTCATATAAAAAGGTCCAAAACAGAAACCAATTAATCCAACATGTGGTACTAGTTGAATTAAAAGTCGGTCGCATGTTTTCACCTAAAAATTATACCTGCATGTTGGACATTAAGTATGACATCATTTGCCTGAGAATATTTGAACAGAAATGTGAGTGTATTTATTATTACCTGTCTTAAACAGTTGATATTCCCAACAATAATTTTGTATTTCTAGGGTGAGGTCATATAGATTTTACCTATTCATAATATCAATTTCATGTTTTACATTGAATGCATCAAGTGCTTTGAGTTACAGTATAGTTGTGGACCAAACTTGATGCAGTGTATGATTTGTATAGGTATTTAGGTATTGTATGTACTTTATAATTAATTTGGATCTAGAACCTATCTGCCCACTACTATACAGGCTGAGTGAAGATAGGACAAGGGGGCGCGGCAAGATGAGTTTGGGCGTGGCAGAATGAGGTGTGCGTGAGGTACTGAGAAAAAGCTGCTGATGTTGATGGTGCATGTTATGTCAAAATTTGTTAATAAATCTGCTTAGTCCAACTAACCTGTGTTTTTCTTCAGTTGTCATTAATTGTTCTAATTGAAGAAGGTTTTCAAACTATTCAAATACTGTAAATCGAAAGTTCGCTTTACGATAACCAGATCGAAGGTGAGTAGGGGTTTACAAACAATTGTCTTCTGCATCACCCCACAAGTTAAAGGTTTCCATGTCTTTTAAAATTAAATACGTTTGATTAGGTGGCGCCATGGATAGTGCACTCGCCTTTCACCAAGATGGCCGAGGTTCGATCCCAGAACAGTGGACAGACGAAGGGCGATTTGCTTTCCTCATTAAAGGCACTTTGCTGTCCCCTGAAAATAGGATAACGTCACGCTACCACAATTGATACACTACCCAAATTGGTACACGGTCAGAAAATGGTTCGAATAGTACAGTACTTTAAAATTAAATTAGAGCATTTTTCTTTGACAGTATAACAAAAGAGATATTTTTCAGCATTTCCGCCGAATAGTTTTGTATTCAGGAACATTTAAGAGTACACGATGACTTCAAACAAAACATATCAGAAAACCAGTTTGGAGGATTTTGAAGGGGTTAAATATAAGCATGTTTAAATGTTGATTTCTGGTCCTTATAACAGGATAATATAAAAGTGTATTTATACAATTATAGTTCAATATGGTATTTATAAAAGCAATATATTTTGTTGTAATCGGCACATCAACTAGCAGAAATAAACACAAGTTTCATGGGCTGTGATATGGTGTACCAATTTGGGTACTTATTACGGACGAAAAACGGACGAAATCTCACTGCGAGTTAAGCGTTCTGTTTTCAAAAACAAATTACTTGGATATTAAACTTTTCCTGAAAATGAACCAACATAGGTAGTCTTTTTCAAGAATCAAGAAACATTCCAGATACAAGATCTGAATTTTTAAAGATCACTCAAGAAACTGTCAAAATTGTACCAACTGTGGTAGCGTGACGAACGATGCCTTTGTGATGATTCACTATATACCGTTTCTCTGAACATTTAGTTCTGTCAAACTAACGGGACCCAACATTGTGTGTTAGGAGTCTCCAGCAGGATGCTAGTAGACAAGGGTATCATTCTAATAACGATGTACACGTCGGCAAATAATTCATTTGGCCCTCGAATACTCGAGTACATCGATTGTGGATAATGATAGTATCTGGGACGAACAGCTTTAGACAGCAAATCAGAAAATACGTCATTTAGACTCGTTGATATAATTTTTGCAAGTTCTACTGTTAAAATTACCTATAACATGTAGAGTTTCTTGATACTTCCATTTTTAGACAGGAAAATAAAGTTAAATGCTATTGGTATAATGTGGATCAATCGGCGATAATAATGTGCAAAAATAGATGTATTTACCGCCTGCCAATTATGTATAGGTGTTCTGTCTTAGAAATGTAGGTGTTCTATCTCTCGCCTTAACATTCCTACAAATGTACACTGTTGGGGGAGAATCGGGTGCGACATCAACGTGAGGGATAATTAGGTGCATAAAAAAAAGACAGAAAAATGGTGCTGCGCCTACCGCTATAAAGTAGGGATAAGTGCAAGCGTGTTGTTGAAGCCGGGTTGTCCTTAACTACTTTTAGTAAGTAAACATGTGGATATAGTCTAGATCAAAACAATCCTACCTATACTAACTTAGATTTTATAATTGGGTGACAATAGTAGCTTAAAGGATTCTGTTTCTGACCGGAACAGATGACAGATTTTATGTCTTGCTCGGATACGTGATATAGCGTGTAATACGTTATTTCATCAGACTCGTCGGATACAGGCAAGAGATCTTGTTATACAGCAAGAACTCACATATATTAAGCGAGCTTGAGAGGTCACATGTATAGCAAAAGGTCGCATACAGCAAAAGGTAACATTATGAAGAAATATGTCACACACATACAGCAAGAAGTCACATACATATAGCGATCTTAAGAGGTCACATGGATAGCAAAAGGTCGCATGTAGCAAGAGGTCACATTATATAGAAATAGGTCACATATATAGCAAAAGGTCACATTACACAACAAGAGCTCACATACATATAGCTAGCTTACGAGGTCATATGTATAGCAAAAGGTCACATGTAGCAAGAGGTCACATATATAGCAAAAGGTCACATTATACAGCCCGTTTCTATAGCTATCTGCTATAATTTTAGATTTTCTTTACCACAATTTTTGTCTTTATCATTTAATTTAATGATGTAGTCTTCTGTATGAACTTTGTATTTAAAAATAGAGTAGCCTTGTCCTCTTATGATATATTAACTGGTTAATTACCTACTTTACGTCCGGGACGTGTATGCTTACATGGAACAGATCATTAATAATGGTCCTCGTAGAAGTAAAAAACAAAATGCTTCTATCATGATTTATTTTTCTCAGTTTTATTAGTTTTCCAGCTCTCACAAAATTTCACCAAATAGATTTGTAGGAAATGGGGTCTTGTAATTTCATTGTACCGACTAAATAAGGATATAACTTACATGTAGCTGTGGAACGGTGGAGTTTCTTTGTATTTAGAGGAAGGTTTAACAATCCTGATTTGCTTGTAGTATGGGTTTTTCCGTTGCTGTGAGGCGAGGACAAAAATATGGAAAATGGTAATTGCGCTTTTAATATTCGGCAATTTCATTTATATTTTATTTATTATCCTATAATGGTTATCAAATAGACCATAAAAATACCCGGCAAGCGTAAACTTGTATAGACGGATATATAGGATGTTGAGAAATCACTTAAGAAACAAACAAATCTTGATGGCTTTTAATGCATCACCTTGATACATTATCTACCATCAGAAATGTGTTATTATATAGTTTAATTTAAAATATATAGACATTGTTTACCATAATTGCGAAAATATATACGAATTTAAGTATTTTATAATGGTTTGGCTGTGATATTATTCACGCCATCGTCTAAATGTCTACGTCAAATGTCTATTTCTTTGTTTCAATATAGAATAATAACGTCACTAACATGGAGTCGGGTACACGCGTAAAGATTCAAACTATGGAACTTCTACAAATGGATGCGTAAATGTGGTACGTACATGTCAATTCACGTCAGGAATCCTCGGTTTTACATGTTCGACATGACATTGGGCTTGGATTTGTTCGAACTATACGGCCCCCGTGGGTATAGAGCGGCCAGGCGCAGGGTTCAAAGATGTTTTAGGTTTCAATTATTAGATTTTTACATAGGGCCCCTTGCGGTATTTAGATCAAAACTATGAAAGATTTGATAATTAAAAAGAAATTAACAACCAAAGATTTCATTAATCATAGAAATAATGTTCACTTTTGCCAAAAGTACACCACTGAATTGACAAGTAACAGCTGTTTTAAACAAAATATGTTTGTACAATGTACATAAATAAGAACTCTATACATATTACGAAAAGAGAAAAAAGAGAGTGTCCAGGTTTAATAAAGATAAACAGCGACAGTTTTCTTTCCAGAAAAGAACAGTGATACGAACGAAAAAAATGTTATATACAAATGTTTTATATCTTAAAAGTCTGAAAGTAAAAGAAATGTGTGTTTGTATGAAACAGCCAATCAGCTCATACAACCTAACAGTTTAGAAGTTTAGAAACATGTACATACAACAGAACAGAGAGTATGCCTGTTTTAGTGTTAATCGCCGCCGTCCTTATATTTGATTGTCTGAACTTGCGCAGGTGATTTACCAGTTGTCCCAGGCTATATACAAATGCTGTTTGTAGTGTTCCTGTAATTAGGATAAATAATTACTTAACAAAAGCTGTGTGATTGCAACAAGTGCTTTGGTGTAGGTTCTCTGTATAAATAATTCAGTATAGAAGCCGCGCGTTCTGACATGCGTGCCATGATAGCCGGGTTTCGTGTGTATTCCTTGTGCACGTGCACGGACTGGTCAAGTTAATTGGTGTAGAGATAGAGGCACGATGAAAAACGTAAAGGGTTTATGTCACTGCTGTGTGAAGTAAAAAGCATAAAAGTGATACTGCGGAATGTAAACACTACACAGATCCGTTACTACTGTGGAAAGTAGAATATAAATCGTTTGTAACTATTGTAGAACGTCAAAATAAAACCATTATGTTATTATTGTGAAAAGTAACTTCAACATGGTAATGTTACTATTGTGAAAAGTAACTTCAACATGTTTATGTTACTACTGTGAAAAGTAACTTCAACATGGTAATGTTACTACTGTGAAAAGTAACTTCGACATGATAATGTTACTACTGTGAAAAGTAACTTCAACATGGTAATGTTACTACTGTGAAAAGTAACTTCAACATGGTAATGTTACTACTGTGAAAAGTAACTTCAACATGGTAATGTTACTACTGTGAAAAGTAACTTCAACATGGTAATGTTACTACTGTGAAAAGTAACTTCAACATGGTAATGTTACTACTGTGAAAAGTAACTTCAACATGGTAATGTTACTACTGTGAAAAGTAACTTCAACATGGTAATGTTACTACTGTGAAAAGTAACTTCAACATGGTAATGTTACTACTGTGAAAAGTAACTTCAACATGGTAATGTTACTACTGTGAAAAGTAACTTCAACATGGTAATGTTACTACTGTGAAAAGTAACTTCAACATGGTAATGTTACTACTGTGAAAAGTAACTTCAACATGGTAATGTTACTACTGTGAAAAGTAACTTCAACATGGTAATGTTACTACTGTGAAAAGTAACTTCAACATGGTAATGTTACTACTGTGAAAAGTAACTTCAACATGGTAATGTTACTACTGTGAAAAGTAACTTCAACATGGTAATGTTACTACTGTGAAAAGTAACTTCAACATGGTAATGTTACTACTGTGAAAAGTAACTTCAACATGGTAATGTTACTACTGTGAAAAGTAACTTCAACATGGTAATGTTACTACTGTGAAAAGTAACTTCAACATGGTAATGTTACTACTGTGAAAAGTAACTTCAACATGGTAATGTTACTACTGTGAAAAGTAACTTCAACATGGTAATGTT